TAAATCACATGATTCACATACTTTACTTACGGTGCCGTCTAATCGCTTGACTCAATTATCTCTATCTTCAATCTATCTGCCTATCTCTGCAATTCTATCTTCTTTTACTGGCTTTATTTGCCAGGTTTATATACTAAAAAAGAGGGTGCCTGGAAGAAACTAGAGTTGCCAGGAAAATTCATGATCCTTCTAGAAACTCCAGCAAGCATGCTCCCAGCGTCACATGACTTCCGCTGTCGTAACAGTATTTCATTTTTTATGATTGAATAAAATTTTATAAAATGCTTTCTTCCTTATTTCATTTTAATGCAACAAAGAAGTTAAACAGTTCCCTGTTGAACAAATGGTCAGAAAATTCAAGTGCTTTGAATGACCTCTAAATATTATTTGATTTACATTGTATGTAGCATAAATCATTTTCTAATAGATGGTAACAAATTGAGGGGGTAAGACTTAAGATATTTTCATTTTGAAATTTTGTTTCTATAAATAAAAACCACCCTAATGCACACTTTGATCTACATGTAGTGAGAGGGTTAAAAACAGATGTCAATTTGTTGCATATCATAATGGTAAAAACTAACAAGGGCTGAAACTAAAAATGAAGTGTGATTTGAGTGAGATTATCAGAATTATTATTTTTTAACCTACAAACAGAATGTGCTTGAGAAAAAAATGTATATAAATCTCTCTTTCTTAATGTTCTGAAGCTTGTTAAAATAGTATATTTTTACATAAGGATTAATGCTAGACAAAATCATGTATGTACTATGAAACACATAATTAGGTGGATCAAACTAATGGAGGTTCAGCTGCTACAAACATAACAATGAGAAGCATGTTATATATTATAATATATATATTATACTTTGTTATTAATCTAACATTACTTTATTAATTTAATACCAATATAATACACAACTAATGAAACATTTACAAACATTTAGGTTTTTTAGTATTTTCAAAAATGAAATGACATTTTATTATAATTTTGAGAATGATATTTCAAAAATAAATATTAATTATCTGTGAAAAATTTAATGGAAAACAACTACTCAGACAATTTTTTGTACCATGATTCATGTATGTTCTATAATCATAAGGAGCTTATTGCAAAGTTCCAAGTTCTTTTATACAAAAAATTGTGAGAGAAATTCAAAAATCAAGTAAACACATACACATGTATATAAACATGACTGAAATTACTATATACACTGTATATTTCAAAAAGTACACATTATAACCTGAATTTCCACACAAATTTTAAATCTCAAAAAGTATCTTTTGAGTGGAAACATTTTTGTAAAAACTTATTCAAGCATATATCATAACATCTAACTCAAATATGAGCACCAGCAAGCAATATTGAAGCAACATTTTAATATTGCAAAAGACAGTTATTTGACAGAATATATTAGAATTAGACTTACACACTGAAGTTCATCAAAAACTTCAGTCATTCTTTATTTTCATGTTTAATAAACACTTGGTAACCAAGCCAGCACTATCAACTCTTCTTTATAGCTTCTCAAGAATGCTTTTACTTCCCTCATAATCAGTAAGTCATCAAAGTTGCAAAAATCACCTTTATAAAACCAAGAATTACAGTTTAATAATGTGGCAAAAATTCATACCTTAGGATCAGATTCTAAAAGATTTGGAGCCAAAAGAGCAAGAGTTGACTCTAATTCTTTCTGTTGTTTACTTTTTTTTCTAATTAATCTGTTTCTGCGACATATTGTGCTGCTTGCAGCCATCAAAGCTGCTAAATCTTCTTCATCATCAACACCATCATCTTCTCCATCATCACATGGCTCAACATCAATATGAGAATCACATTCAACACCTAAGTCCAAATCTATAGGAACATCTTCAGAATGTAAGTTAGTTGCAGCTAAGTTACACTCAGAAATAGTGCCAGAAACTTGAGAATCAACACATGTAGAATTTCCTAGTGAAGAGTTTTGTTTCATATTACCTGATATGACTCCCGAGTTTTGTAATGCTGAACATGTGAATGTTACATCTATTTGCTCAGGACAGGCTTTTGTTGAAACAGAACTGGGCCACTCACTTTCAACATCCCAGGTAATCTGTTGTGATACCTGATCCTTCTCAGTATTTTCTTGTACCCTTGTATTTTCTTTACCACTGTCCAATGGTAAAACTGATGCAGTACTATTTACATGTCCAGAATAACTTGATTCTTTAAAAGGAAGATTTTTGATACATTTTTCTTTATTACACTTAGAATTTAGAATATTGAAGGAAGAATTTGAGTAATGTATTTTTTGTAAGTCTGGACTAGAATGAATATTTACACTCACTTTTTCATTTTGGACAGATTTAGGTGCAATAGGGCGATATTCTCCAACAGGGCTACTGTATGGAGAAAATTTATTCTTATCACTAGGACTAACATAAGGTGAGATGTGACCATTGTGATTAATAGTTGAACCAAGAATAGTACACGAAAGACCATCAGTTTTGGGAGCAAGAGTGCGTCGACATGAACGTGATGAGCCAGAATTTTTTATAGGGGTACCTTGGAAGCAGAGAGTGTTCCTCCCACTCCAATGTCCATATTTTTTCAAAATGGGAGATATTTGTTTAAGTGGAGAAACTACGGGTTTGTTTGGAGTTCTTGGAGATAATCTCATTGATAGTCGAGGTAGAAAATTATTAAAATATTTTTTCTCAGGTGTTTTACAAATTCTAGAAGTATATCCAAATTTGGGCACAGTTGTTGAAGTAATCCCCGCAGAAAGAGAAATATCACTTCCACACTGAGGTGACAGAGTAATATGGGGGTGTGGTCTAATGGCGCGGTGATTTCTCAAGTATGGGACCTGTAAAAGAACGTATGATACAAAAGCTTCAATTAATCTATTTTAAAATTAATCAATTCTACTGAAAATTAAATAAGTTAAATTTTAAAAAAAATTTCCAAACATCATTTTCAAATACAAAGAAGTTTAATGACATTAGTAAGGGTACAAAAAATATATATATAATAACAAAAAAATTCAAAAACTGGGTTTTCTTCTCTGTTCAAATATAAAGAGATATAAAAATCAGTTTATTTACTTTTACATTATTCTGTTTTCCCCTAGCTTAAATTCCTAATTGGAAGACTAATGTAACACCTATATATGAATAAAGATTTTTCTTCTGTTTGTACATCATGACACATGGTAGTGTGGTCAAAACACCCTGTAGCTCACTGTGGTAACCAAATTATCACATATTTTCAGTATATGTGCTCTACCAGAACCTTAATTCACATACCAAAGTTCAAGGCAATCCATTAAGAAATACATGATATAAAATCTTTTTTTCTTTGCATCAAACGTATGGAAACTATATTTGATAGAAAACATACCTTCTATGGATTTTTTTCAAATTTGGTACACTGCTAGATATTTAAAATCTTTAATTAGGTGGAAAATTTTATCTACATATAAGCCATATGTGCAAAGTTATTCAACAAAAACTACTAAATTTTGATCAAAATGTTTGCACATGCCTTCACAAAAAAGTCCTGTGAGCTATCAGTCTAAACTTTTGCTACACCTTCACCTAAGAGTTAAATTGAATCATTTTTAGTTTTTTATTATTTGGATTAAATATGGCTTATCCAGAGTGGTAAAACTATAGGATTAAGGCAGGTGCAGAAACATAAGTACTGGTTATGCCAAGCAAACCAGTTTCTAGCTCAAGTTTTCAAAAGATTCATATGGGTCGACGGGTATTATTCATTGCCTATTGTTAAGCACAAATTTGCAAAATGTCATGAAATTCTCCTAAATAAACAGCATTTAGCATCACGTGACATTAGCTTAAGCATTTAGCATAATTAATGATGCCTGATACAGCTTTACTGAGTGCATGCAGATGATGACAAGAAACTGTTAATCTAGTTTCCATGATATTACTATAAATGAAATTATTAACACTGTTTTAGGGAGGAACACTACCACCATATATTTTAAAGAATCGGGTTAGTTCTGTAAAGTACAGGTCTGTTCAGAATAATAAGGTTGTGATCCTAAAGCTAATGTTGGTTACTATTGAGTGTCACTTTCTTACTTGCCGTGGTTTGTTGGTGTGTATTGACAAGAAGTCATGATATTAATCAAAAACACCTTAGGTGTGAAAAAAAGATGTGGCCAAAAAAGGACTGAGCGTGCAACTTTAGGGAATGAAATCAAAATTGGTGGTCAAACTGGTAGCTACACTTATAGCATTGATAAAAATTTTACAGCAAATATTCATTCATTAGTTAGCCTGGCTGCATATTTTGTTTTCTCACCATCATGCCACCAGTTGAACAAAAAACACAGCCTGGCTAACTACAAGTTTAGCTACTAGTTTGGCTGTCAATTTTGATGTGATTCCTTTAACCCTATGATTACAGTTACCCCTGTACTGTGCCCATCACAAGATCTTACTTTGTTACATTCAAAATTTAATTAAGCAATCTTACTCTCAATGTATACCAATGAAATTAGAATTCAAATTTACATTATAGCTCAAAGAAACCCAATAGAAAAATGCTTAAACTTCTGTTTGATGCACAACTTCAGTTAGTTACTTCAAAAGTTTTGATGTTTGACCTTTGTAAGTTGTGAATGACTTGAAAACACAAAACCTTTCATATATAGAAAGAATTTAGGTTAACTGCTCTGTTCACACATTCTCCTTTCAAGTTCCATAGCGGATGTTGGGAGAAAATAAAAAATAAATTTCTTGCAACTCCTGACAGATGCCACACCCACTCTGTACATGTACAGTTGCAATTTTTCAGCCAATTATACTTAGTTGAGCTAGATGTTTGCAACGAATAAAAATCCACATTTTGCAATACTATTTCCCAACAGTGATTTTAAAATTGGCACGAAGAATTCCACAATCTTAGCATTGTTGCTGCTTGTGACCTCACTAGAGGTTTAGCATTATTTCTCACTTATAAATATGTTAGTTTGATAGATAATGTATATTAGAAAGGTTTAATAACTTCTATGAAATATAAGCCAAACTGCCTCATTTTAACAGGCTTAGTGTAGTAGGCAAATGTCCCATCATTCTGATGATGGCTAAAGTCTCACTGCCAGAGACACCCAGAGAACACCCCTTGATATGTGTCGTGCTAAGTAATAATGCTAAAGGATAGGAAAGGGAAATAAAACATCAAAAATAAATTTTTGTGAAAAACTAAAAACTTATAAATAAGAATATAAACAAAAAAGATTTTCAAGATAACTTGACAAAATATTAAAAGGTATGTAAATAAATTATAATTTTAACTTTCACTGCACACTATGTTGATGATAATTCTCAAAATAGCACAAGTAGCTATAATACAAAAAGAACAAATCTTTAATTAAAATACTCAAGTAAAACAATCTCATTCTTTGTGTACAAAATAATTCTAATCTTTAACAAAATCTTACCACTTCTTGTGAAGATATATTAAGAAAGCTCAGAGTTGTTGTAAGTATTGTTCAACTTTGCATCATTCTCAATATGAGAAATATGCCAAATGGGTTCAAACTGTAACCAAAGAGCTAAGTCACACACTCAATCTATTTGGACTGCACCTTTTAGTCACACCTAAGGTGTTTTTAATTAGATTTGTATTTATTTCCACTTCTTTTTCTCTCCGATATTTTTTGCGTAACACTTCTAGAACCTGCATTCTGTGGATAGTTGTAACTACCTCACCAATTCATTGTACCTAACTACCACACTCTTATTAATGCAGTTGAGTTTAAGTGCAACTAAAAAAAGAATTTCCACACTTAACCCTTTTATTACGGGCTGGATAGAATCCAACCAGCTTGTAAGCACAAAAGTATTCATGAGAGGAATTAACCATGATTTTTGATAATGTATGCATACCTTTACAAAATTTTGCAGGTTATTGGTAAATATTACAAGACTTTCATACACAAAATATCAGGTTTATAAATTAAGTATTAAGATTTTTTAATTAAAGATTTTCTCATAAATATTTTGCTTTCAGAGTGTTGACTATCCAACATGCAAAATAATTTTGATTTTAAGATTAAAAATACTTTTATGCATTAGACCATTTTCAGATTTCACATGCAAAATCTTTTTAACCTCCAGATAATTATAAAATTTTTTGAAAGAAAAAAAACTATATTTTATCTGTTATTTTCACGAAAGTATCTCTGTACGGGTTGGTTCAATTTGACCGACTTTGCAACTTCAATAAAAAATTCTGAAATAAATATATTATGCTTCTTTCATTCTAGAATGACTATAAATTATAAAACAAAAACGTTTAGTCTAAATAGCTTAAATTTCATAGCAATATACCTTTATATTATTATTATATTGACCTTTCAGCTGTACCTTGCTAATATTATTGATGCTGCAATGATGCGAAGCATGTGCACTCGTTACTGTATCCAAGAGTATAAAACTAGCCTTTAACAAGTGATCTGTCTTGGCTTTGTTTTAGTGGACTAGTATTTTGTAAAATACAGTCACATTTCAGTTATATTACATTATATATGTATAGAAATTATTACTACTTACAAATAAGTTATTAAAGTTATTTTCTTTAAAATATAGAACAATAAATAAAGATTTATAGAAAATAATTATATCTTCTAGTTACAGCATTTGTACTCGTTTGCTACATGCCATAGATTGCTAAACCTTATCAAATTTTGCACATAGAGGATGTGAAATGAAATCATATTTTTTTTAGGTTTATATATACATTTGAAATAACAAAAAAATCATAAATTACTATATTGATACCATAGAATTCCACTATAATTTATCAAGGTTAGTAACTAAGCTGTATTTGGGTCTAAAAAAAAATATGAAATTTGGAGCAGACTAAAGACTCAACTTACCATCTTGAAATATTGTATTGAAAGAACGAGTTAACATCATAATATTTGAAAATGGCTGAGAAAGCCACTAGGGGTCATTCTGAGCTTTTGATTGGTTATTCACATGTCAGAGACAGAAGTACTGGAAAGAGGAGGTGGGCAGGGCCACTGTGTGTTTCAGTACATGAGCAACATCTCAGCAAATAGAAAACATATGAGGTTCTTATTTTATATTACAGTTGTCAATATTGGTAATTTGAGTTCCTAGTTCATAAAAACTATACTTTGTATTTTGACATCACAAACATCTAATATGAACAAATGCTGCATTCAACATACTACGTGACACACAAAAATCGATATATAGGATTTCTTTTGTAATATTTACTTTTAAATTAAGAAATTAACTAAAAGATCATACTAAAATTTGAATTATAATTTACAATTTGATACCAAACTTATTGATATACATTCATAAAATAATAGTTCAATAAAATTTTGAATACGAGTCCACAAATGCGATGACATGGCCTTTGACTCGTGATCATAGGAAGACACGTAGGGATAAGGTTAAGCTACATATATTCACACATCTTATACCTTAAAGTGTTAGTGTTAAATTTGAAAGGTTTTAATTATGAATGTTACCATCAAAACATTAACATTTCCAAAAGAAAATCTGGAAATAAAAAACTGAAAATTTCATCTGCATTTTCAAGATTTGTCTGTTAATGCGATAAATGTGCCAACTATTATTTAAAAATCTGATACCAGCTTTCAAGGCTTATGCCAAAATGTAAAGGAAAATTGATCAAGTTAAAAAAAGTTTCTTAAAATAGTATCAAAATTAATCGTAAAACAACCATTTTCATAAAAGAATAAAGATAATGAAATATATTACTTGAAAGAACAAATTTTTATTACTATGCATCATAAAAGTTAATCTACCCATGAATAATAATACTTACCATTTATGGAATCTTTTTTTTCTTGAATATTTAAAAAAACACTTTAGATAATAAGGTATGTTTAATTGTTTTGATTGTGAGATTTTTCACTATGTATTTTTCCTTTAACTTTATTACTTTACTACTTCACCTTAACATAGGATCACTTCATCTATGAAGTTCACCCTACACAACTATCTTGAGTGTTTTGCTTCTGCTAGCTCATTTGACAGATCCATAATGTAAAATTTGTTTTGCTACAATAAAATCAAAAAGTACAGGCAGATGTATATGTACAAACTTTCAATAAAAAAGTTGTGCACTGAGTGGTACCATTTATTGAAAGAATAATAGTTTTTGTGTTTTTTTAAGAACTCCAGTTTCTCAGTACTACATTTAAAAATTACACCAGTAAAGATATAATCAAACCTTCACGTAGAGTAAATTATTTAAAATTGTGTTCTATTATAAAGAAATGGTTGTTCCACATACCAGTTATTCTTTAATTGTCTGAATCCTGAATACCCAAATTGTGAAATTTTTATGGATTTTCATTTGTGATGCCATTAAATAGATGGTACAGGAATTTTGGTTACACACATACATATATCCATTATTGTAAGATTAGTGACAGGCATACTTATCACTACTTTATAAATCAGAAAAAAAAAAAAATAATCAAATGTTCAAAAACATTGTATGGTAAACATGTAGACATTTAATATTTAAGTTGGTGCCTGACAAGAAATAACCATAGATACAGGAAATCATAACAAATAATAAAACTTTACTCACCATCCATTTTGGAACTTGACTTGTACGTAAGTTACAAGGTGGGTACACACTGTCTAAGTCAAAAGGTTTAATGACTTGAGGAACTGGAGGAGCTACATGGTACTTGAAATAATACTGAAATTAAAGTTAAATGATCCTATTACACATTATTCTAAATTAAAGTTTATCAGATGACATGATGGAATGTTAAACAATTACTGATTTTATTCAACATACAGAAAATGTTTATCAGACTGTAGCTTTGACCTCATGTCAAAGTGAATTGCAATGTGAAGAGTTCTATTTCATCTATAACCTAAATGATAAATAAGAATGACTAATATTGTTTGGAGACGGCTTGAATGGGTAATGAATTATCCATTCAAGCCGTCTCCAAGCATTATTAGTCTCAAAGAGGGTTCCTCGTCATCGAATTTAAAACAATAAGAATGACATATACTTGTTTTTTTATTTAATCATTGAAAAGCCCAATGAAACTAACATAAAAATACATGGATGAATAGTTTGGTATCAAAAAATTTAATAGTATATAAAACAATAGATGAGACAAAAAAGGAAGTTTTGCAAAGTATAATACACTGTTTAGTCTCATGACTTGGCTGTAGCTTTTTAATAAATTCAAAACAAATATTTGCAAGGATTAAAAATAAGAATTTGAGATATAGTAGAAAATGTCATGTTTAATTAAACTGAGTTTCCTAACAAACTGAATTGAAGGAAAGAACTGGACACAAAGTTGCCAGTAATGAAATGGAAATAATACTATATTATTACAATACATAAACAGGCTCAAAATAATAATTACAATGGAAAGCACTTCTCTCATGAGTTTGGAAGAATATCTAAACAAATCTGAATAAGACAGAGATAAGGAATATCACAGTAAGTATATTTCTCCCAAAGTATACTTGTCACCTACACAACTTGGTCATTCCTTAAGTTAAAATACAGAGCATACAGCCTCCAGATATTTTTTAAACATCTATACAGCTCATACTACTTGAGAACACATCCAAAACTAAACCACACAGTTCTCCAGTAACACTTTTTGAGGAAGAGTTAAGCTTCATTAACTTTATCTACCTGGGCATCATTTACTGCATGTCACAAGGTTTTAGTGGCTTACATTCAAAATTTTATTAAACTACTTTTTATTTATGTTATACCAATTAGTATAGCATAAAATCATAGCTAATAATACATATTTTAATAGTATGTAAGTTTTAAGTTCTTAATTTTATAAAGCACTATTTCAATAAATCCTGAATTTCCCCTAATGTGAGAAAGGTGACAAATTTTCTATAAGCATCTCATTTTCTCTATTTTATTCACCACCCCTCCAATAAATATGAAATTCAACATAAATTACTCACTATAAAATTGTCATTGCTCAGAAAAACCATAATTTTTATAGTTTCCATTTTGTTTGGTGATAGAGCCATCAAATAGAAAATCAGACACCTCTTGTCACAGATAACTGTCACATCCTCTCTTTCAGGATTTGTTAATAGTTCTCTCTTACACTTAATTCTATATTATCTATAACCAATAGAAAGCCAAGGTTTTCATCTATCAAATGATATATTATATTATGTTCTGACCAGAGAATTGTCAATTTCTCTGTTAGTATGACTCTTGTCATATAGTTAGAAAGCCAAACAATTTGTGGTAGTTAGGGGTAATCGTCTGCTTTTTGCATGTTATTAATCTATGTTCTTTGGTACATTATTTAATTAAATAAAAATTAGTGCATTACTACCATTAGTATTAAAAAAAGTAGGGTTAAGTATCATCGACAGCAAAAAAAACCTGGGTAAGTACTTTATTTCTTGTTTTTCATTTTTATTCTTTATTATAAAAGTAACTAAAATATAAAAATAGGGATCTCTTTAGGTTAGTTAAGGTTATATTATGTAAAATAAATAATAATAATAATATAATACAAATATTTCATGAGGCACACACGCAAGCAGCTGGGAATAGCTCATGGGTAATATAATCGATACTGTAACATAAGGTGTACATTCCCCATTACGGCGCAAATAGTAGTTAAACACAGTTCAAATGGCAATAAAACTGAATTATAACTAGATGTATACTGTAACATAAGCTGTACATTCCCCAAGTGATTAACAACTTATAATGGCACAAATAGTAGTTAAACACGGTTCAAATGGCAATAAAACTGAATTATAACTAGATGTATACTGTAACATAAGCTGTACATTCCCCAAGTGATTAACAACTTATAATGGCACAAATAGTAGTTAAACACGGTTCAAATGGCAATAAAACAATAAAACTGAATTATAACTAGATGTATACTGTTACTAGTTTAAAGCTACTTAGGATAAACTAATGTAGTTTCATGTTACAATTTGATATGATTCTAGAAATTAAAAAAGAGTAATTTAGATTTATTTACATTTTTTG